GCTGTTGAGGAAACGGGTAAGGAAGTGCCGCAAGTGGAGCTTCGGCAGGGATGTAAGTTGATGCTTATTTATTGATATTTTGGAGAAATTCAATTTATTAATCAATAGTAAATATAGCAACCTACTTTTGGATTTCTCAATCATGGTCGCACAATAAGTATATACATATTCGTGCTATTTGGCGTCATGATAGGGCTGGAGAATCTGCCTACATTTTAATAAACACGTTTGATAGAAAATCTTGAAAACCATCGAGCTTATGTAAAGAAGTAATAGAAACAATGTTGAAGAGAGTTTAGGGAATTCTTCTTCATCTTGCTTCTAAATATAATCATTTATATTATAGCCACCCTGAGGCAGAAAAGTTCCACAGCACTTTACTGTCGGACATTTTCTGCCCCAGGTGTAACCTTCTCCAGAATCTTGCTAACCCTACTGGGTGAATAATGTCAATGAAAGTTAACTTTTTTCTTAGACGAGGATAGGATATAAATATTATAATGATACATTTTTTAATTTGCATCTCGGTCAGGTAAAAATAAATATGCTTGAGAATACAAAATTATAACAGGAAACTGACCTTTACAATTTAATAGACGAAGCTAGTCGTCACGAGCACTTAACCTTCTAAGCGAGAATTGTTAATCGTGCTTTATTGGTTTGTTCGTACAGTAGTCGGTAACTTGTCATTCGTACAGTTTCTGACTGTTTACCGACAGCTAATCCGCTGTTCGTACAGAACCTTCTGACAGATCAGAGGACACCAGTCAACCAGTGACAGTGACAGGTATCACAATGTGTCGAAACTATCTTGAGGACTAAAACTGCTTCGCAAGAGGCATTTAATGATCGATTACTCTTTTCTAATGGACGGTCTGGTCACACCTTCGCACCGATGGGACGTCGGCGATCTAGCTACGCCAACGGGCTTTGCTCCTCAGAGCTCTCTTCCATGGTGTCGCCCCGCAATGTGCCTACCTGACGGCCTCCCATCGTAAGCGTGTCGAACTTCGTACATCCAGAACTGGCCTATAAGACCGCTCCTTTGTCCCGCGGGTGTCGAGATCGTGTAACAATCTACATGAGGGGATTTTCCCGGTTCTACTAACTTTAGGCTGTTCAAAAATGGGAATAACAAAGTTTCTTTAAGCTCCTGAAAGCAGCCGCGATGCCTTATCATGTAGGGTTCACCGGCGCGGCTGCTTCGGTGTAAAAAAAATGAAACCCAAAAACCTTAATTTTGTAGAGAAAACAGGGCCACAATTCAACAGTAACAAGTTTTTGTAACATTTTCAGGTGAGCAAGTGGCAGAAGAAATTTTAATGAAATTCCATTTTAAATATCAGCCAGCGCCAAAGTGCTTTGTGCTCAATATTTTGTTTATTGTCCCGGTAATGGCAAAATGAAGATTATGAATACAGTATGAAAAATCCGAACAATAGAGGACAGAACTTTCAAGAACCATAATTAATACGATTTTTGTGATCACTAATCTTTTGAAAATTTTTGTTACAGTTGCAAAATGCGGAATTACGTTCTTTTGTCCATGTTGAGAACTCTGTGAAACATATATATATATATATATATATATATATATATATAAACAGATCTTGAGAATTGTAGTTATGTTCAGCCGTTTTAGCTTTTTAGTGTATAACACCCTTTATTATTCAAAGACGTTATTAAATCCTTGTAGTATTTTCACTTCTTTCTTCTAGTAAGAGTCTGCATATACAGGGTGTTTCTAATTTAGCCCTCACCATTGGGATCTTGTAAATTGTAAGGGATACGACACTTAGAAGGTTTCGAAATTCAAAGTACTTCCGTAGAGTAACGGAAAAACTGAATTTTCCCAAAATTGTTATGATTTTTTCCTGACTTTATTTATATTGGGATTTTAAAATAAATTGCACATAAACAGTGCCACGTGTTCTCCTCTGCAAGAAGGCATGATCAGAATTTCTATATGACGGTTCGTCTCTTGTCCTCCAGCATCAACTATATTATTTCTTAAGGACGCTATATTGTTTTTAATTTTGATTCAAAAAATGCATAATACGTCATACATTGACGTTGTCAAACCTTGATTACTTTAAGAAAAACAGAATTTCTTAGGTAGGCCTTGAAATTATCAGATGTTTGTTTCGATCACCAGATTTATCACAAAACCGCTCTATTTTTTCCCAACTCTATTCGAGATGGGATTTCAAAATAAATTGCATATTGTCATTGTTACTTATTCTCATCTGCAAGATGCGTAGTCAAATTTTCAATTCGACATTTCTTCTTTCGACTTCCATCATCAAAGTTTTTTCATACGGGCACTAACATAATATTGGAATGTTGTACATTTAAATGGACTTTTTAAACCCTAATTCAGTGATTGTTATTTGACCATAAATTTATTGTTGGATGAAAATTAAAAGGAATTAAAAAGATTTGGTGAAACCTGAATACGAAATGAAAATTTTATTTATGGTAATAACAATAATAACCATAAATAAACTGAGATATTCACAGTCTTCCAAACTCTGTTGCTATGCAAACAAATGAAATCTAATAACTTCATGGCCTACCTAGGAACTTCTGGAATAACTAAGGTTTTGCAGTGTCAATGTATGACATACATTGTTTAAATAAGAATAAAAATTCTATTCATGAGTGTAAGAATCCAATATGGCGTCTATAAGTTGATGCTGGAGGACAAGAGACGAAACGTCTTATTGAAATTCTAATTGTGCCGTCTTGTAGAGGAGAAAACATGGCAGAGTTCATGTGCAATTTATTTTGAAATCCCACCACAAATAAAGTCAGAAGAAAATTAAAACCATTTTGGGAAATTTCGTTTTTTATGTCTCTTTCCGGAAGTACTTTCAATTTCAAAACTTTCTAAGCGACATTTTTCTGATTATCTGAATACGCAACTTTGCCCCTATTTAACTGACTTCGTATGCCTTGAAGTTTCCGAGATCCCAATGGTGGGGGTCGAATTTAAAATGTATAGGGTAAATATTATTTTCACCCCAGCACAAACAGTCACTCCCTCTCCGTGAGAAAAAGCTGTATTACAAAATCTCCAGAATTCATTTGTTTATTTTTTCATCAGCTCTGGCTTGGACTTACATAGCTAGAATATATAAATACTGTTTGTGCATACACTTCGAGGCTGGGCGACAGAGGAACAGGGAACAAAAACCCTACTATCCGAGTTTTATTAAAAGTCATTAACAATACTTTGTACATTTCTCATGCATTATCACACAGACGTTTATTCAGAATTCTTACTATGTATTTACTTCTTCAACTTGTCATTCGATGTGTGGAATCATAGTTCTTCGAATTTATGTTTATACTTATATGAGAATTGAATGGTAATTACTGAGTAAATCTACTTGACATTTTTGGGTGCTGTTATTTTTTCTAGAAGGTGTCCATGTTTTCCTGTCTAAAGGAACATTCGTGCACATTTGGACAGTTGGACGAAACATTCTAGATCATTCTGGTTTACAGCAAATGAACCCCCAACTTTTTCAAAATTGTCTACTTCATTCTAAAAAAATTTACATTCAAATAATTATTGTACTTGATTTCGAGCTTTGACAATTTACTGGAAAATTATCTTCTGACTGATTTGACAGTCACCAGTCAGAAGTTTCTGTACGAACAGCGGATTAGTTGTCGGTAATCGGTCTGACCTCCCTCAGCCAACTCGTAACGTTCTTATGTACGCAATTAATACAGTCAGCGACCTGTCAGTGACAGCCAACTGCGCAAACTAGGTCATGACCATCAGTTGCTGATTGTCAGCAGACAGGCTGTACGAGCAAACCATACAGGGTTTGTCCGCAACGTAATAGGACTGAGTCGATTTAAAAAAAATTATTGAGCCAATCGTTACAACTCTTTAAAAACTTTCAAAATAGGCTCCTTCTGCGTCGATGCAGCGCTGCCAGCGCGATTTCCAAGCATTGAAGGCGTCACGGAAGGCATTCTCCGGAATAGCCTTGAGAGCCGCGGTGCATGCTGCTGGGATCCCCTCTGTCGTCTCAAAATGGGGGGGGGGGGGGGGTGAGCCGAGGCGTTGTCGTGGTGAAACTTCCAGTCGGCTGCGATGTCTTGTCGGACCCGACTGACCCTTCGTTTGAGTCTCCTGAGCACTTCCACGTAAAACTTGGCGTTGACGGTTTGTCCAGGAAGAACAAATTCATGGTGGACGATGCCTTTGATGTCAAAAAAGACAATGAGCATCGTTTTCACTTTGGATTTGCTCATTCTTCCATTTTTTGGGCGAGGAGACGCCGTCGTGTGCCACTCGGAAGATTGCCTCTTTGTCTCGGGATCATACTCAAAGATCCATGACTCGTCACCTGTGATTACGTTATTCAAAAATTAGGGGTCACTTTCACACATGTTCAAATTTTCTTGGCACACTTCCACTCGCCGCAATTTCTGGTCGTCAGTGAGCACTTTTGGGACCATCTTCGCGCACACTTTGCGCATGTTCAAATGCTGTGTCACAATGACATGAACCACAGATTTTGGTAAATTTAACATCTGGGCAATTAAACGAATACTTAGTGGACGGTCTGAATTCAAAACTTTGCGCACACGAGTCTCATTATCGGTGTTTGTCGAAGTCGAAGGTCTTCCAGCACGGTCTTCATCCGCGACCTCTTCCCGGCACTCCAAAAAGGCCTGGTGCCACCGAAACACACCACTTCTTGCTAAACAACACCTGGGTAAGCCGAGTTTCACTATAGCCCCACGGTACCCATAGATGCTTAGGCCTTCGTGGTGGTTCGAGTATAAAAAAAGGTTCATCAGACTGCCAATCTGGCATTTAGGATGGATGTAAAAACTAATTCAGAACATCTTGCTCGCCTATTTGTCGGAGAAGCAAAGCGAATAACCAGTTTTTACTTTTGATCTGCATCCAAAAAACTAATTAAACTTATGTCTGTACGCACCCAAGTCCACGTACTTATTCTAATACAAATGACCTGTTTTAGAATTGACATGAACAGGAGTGAAGGTTAACATTTTTTAACAGATTTCCAATCAAGCGCCGATTTTTTAATGCCACGACTTTTTAATGTATTAGATTTTTTATTGATATTAGCAATAAATATCTCCGCTCTTTTACATACTTTAGACGGTTACATGAACTGATTCCCTATCGAAAAAAAGGTTATATCGCCTATCATGAGTTACATTGAAAGAGCGATTTCACACTAGCGTTAAAGTCACGCTATGGTGAATCTCAATATCACACCTGAATTATCGATCAAGCATATATTATATAGAAACCATTTTAGTAATTAGATTTTTATCAATAGGATCTCATTTCGGAAAAGTACCTCAAGAAAAACTGAAACTATAACAACCACAGTCACACATCCTGACAGGTTTTCTAATACGCATTATGATCTCGTTAAAAATTATTGTGGTTGAATTCTTAATTAAAAAATGGTGTAAAGAAGATGGTTGACCCAGCGCTTCCTACGCAACACTGGCGCTCGTTGAGTTGTCCGTGACGCGTACTTTGAAGATATATCTTTATAATACAACTTTTAATGGCATATGTACAGGGATATATTAAATGTCTAGTAGATGCGTACATGGGTTGGAAACGTAAAAATTGTGAGGACCAAAAAATTGACATATACTGTCCCCCACCCCCTACAACCCTCAACATCAAAGTTTTAAGCCCCGCAAAAATTTTTCTGATAACGATCAGCAGCCTCTCTAACGTTAAAAATCGAAGTTCTGGCGATTTTTATTTTTTTTTTGTGTTTTTGCCCCTACCTTCGCCGCCACTGGTCCGATTTTCAAAATTTACAAAGTTTTTTAGTCCTACTTTCCAAGTTATAGACGGTCTAAAGACGGAGCGACGGTTTTCAAAAGCGTTTCTCATTTTCGAATTTTTCACGATTATAATACTTCCTCGTCCAGTGGCGCAGGAAGTAAAAATGGAAACTATCTGTCAGGTCAGTGGATATACGTTTTTTGTTGTAAACAAAATCAAGGCGTATCTTCTCAAGGTACAAGTAATTACTAAAATGTATACGATATAGTGCACTCAGAGAAATTGGTGTTAATTTTTGCGAAGCATCTCCGGCTGTACATGTATTATAATAAGGTTTCAAATATGATAATCAAGTATACAATGTACCATTAACAGGGGACAAACATTCAACGTGTGTTTTATTGATCTTTCGAATATATAGGTCGAATAACTTTTCTCGAAACATTTTTTATTTTAAATAAAACGGTATACTTTTCAATATTGCTCGGAAAAAAATCCTATAATATGGCGGAAACTGCAGATCAATATCTTTATTCTTTAAAAAGATGCATATAATGAAAAATATACTTAACACGTTAACTGTCCATGAATCACATGTGATTCATTAGACATGTTTGTCTAAACGCCCTTGAATCATATGTGATGCATTGTACTTGCTTTGCCTTACGATATGTTAAAAATTGGACGTGATATTTAAGCAGCTGATTATAGCATGGACTTATTAAGAAGATATTGAACTTTAATTTTTTTTTCGAGATGATTCCAAGACGTATTTTTCACGTTCGTAAAAATCATTCCAAAAAAAGTCTTTTATTTATTAAAAACGACTTTCTTAAAGGTTTTAGAAAACAAAGGAACATAATTCTGAAAATACAACATAAAATTAGTTAGTGTTTTTATTTTTGTGCATTCCAGCAAAAAAACAAGATAGGCAAAATGGCTTACTATATATGGTACAATAAGTATCTATCTACTGGGTTCCATTTTCGCGTTGGTTTTTTCTTTAGCATTCATGACATCTTTTTATTATAATTTTACCGTTGTCCTGTCTTGGTATTTTTGAAATTTCAACAGAAGTTTATGGTTCAATGTGGGTTGTTGTTTTAGCTACTTCAAAAAGTTCTTCAATTATTTCTTCTGTAAAAAGCAATATAGCCTTTATTTCCGTAGATATTTTGTTGTATAGTAACCAACTATTAATTACAACGGTGCCAAATATTAACTTAATTGCCACCTTTTTGCACCAGATCACGAACTTACGAACTGGTGAATGGTATAGCTACTTAGTTAATCCGATACTTCAATTTCCTGCTTTCCTGAGTTGTAATCTAAAATGGCTTTCGGTTTGGTTACAACAACTTTTTCTTCCTGTATCTGCAGTATCACTCCCATGTCAAGTTGACAACAAGCAAACATCACCCATATCGTGTCACTTCAAAATTGTGATGTCTTGTTGTCAAGCGATTATGTCCCCTTTTTTAAATTGGCCTTGGAACTCCCTTTCGATTTTTCCTTAGACTCCCACAAAGATCTGTGGAACGAACTAGCAAATATGTATCTAAAGGAATACTGGTGTAATAATTATCAGTTATGATCCTTCATTCAATAAGCCTTCAGCTAAATTTACTACTACAGGTCCAGGCACATCTAACATGGAAATTTTGGGATCATCTCCACAATAAATAGAAAAGGAATACGTAAATGTCTTTGTCTTACATTTTGAGGGGTTGCATTGTATAAATTTTAACCTTCTTCTAAAAGGAATAACTTGCTCTGGTATCATCGGACTTATGTTTACATATCATTCATGGACGTGAGATATGTATTATTCCAACTTATACGTTCATGAGTCATATGTGATCATGGAAGATGGAGGGGAGAGAGTGATGAGACTTTGTCTATAAAACATAGTTGAAAACATGTTATAATGGTATATTAAAAAAATATATGTCTGGCATAATGGACGTGTCGCTGGAATCCCGAGAATATGCTTGGACAGTTAACGTGTTAAATTACAATTTTCAGGTACTACTGGATAAAAAGAAAAATTCAAGCTATGAATAATAGTCATGTAAAATGTATTTATCTATAAGATACGATACTACTTGGGAATTTATCTATATGCTTTTTATAACCGATAGGGGTCGCAAGTGTCTCCTGATATATGAAAAAAGACATACTTCAATTATACCTTATATTTTAACTCAGTTGGCTTTGCAATACGAATAATTGAGGAAGCCCCCAGTTATACCTTGTAAGAGTGCAAATTATGAATTGTTTTATATCCATTGTAATATTATGTATAACGGCTATTCCGTTTAAAATACCGTATTAATAAAATCTTCTGCCGAAGAGTCATCTGAAGAACATTCAGTGCCTTCGCTAACGCCGTTGGCCCTAAAATATCTCCTAATGAATCTTTTGATGTGTTGTTCCTCGTCGAGGTCAATATCAAGATCATAGTTGGGAAAGAACTGTTTTTCCATAGTGTCAGCGAATATCTCCACCTTATCCTCTGTTCTGAAGTCTATGCCTTCAGGACCGTAGATGTGCGAGAGTTGTTCTCGCTTTCCGATTCTGAGTGACTTTGCGACCTTCCAGAGAGGAATACTTGAATCAAGCATTCCCGCCAGAAAATTGCTCCATTGCTCATTGCGGAATTCATGGAGCGCGTTTCTCACTTCATGGCAAAAAAGGTATGCCGTGTCGTTATACAGGAGGTACAGCTGCACGCTGTAGAGCTGTTTGTATGAAACTTGCCCAACTCGGCTTGAGCGGCATCTATTCCAGTCTCATCATCTATGATCGGGGTATTGGGAATCTTTCTAAGGATCAAATTGTATATGCCATCATCCAAAAGAGCTTGATGAAGTTCCCGCTGTTTGAGAATGTCCCTTAGGCCCAAATAATTAAAAAAGAGAGAATTTTGAGAAATACAGGCTGTCTACTATTGTGCCTAGCCATTTACAGGACAGATCGCCTGCAAAGCTTGAGTAGCGCTAATCAGTGGACTTATTATTTCTTGTAAGGACCACATTTTGCGCGTTGAAAGGAGGTCGGGAGGGGGCAGGCAAGGTTGCTTTCCTAGCTGCATCCGCGTAAGACATTTTGCGCCTTTGCGTTATAACTTGCAAATTCCTCCTTGGAGTGAACTTGCAAGTCGGGCTGTTTGTAGTATGGCCTTCTCCGCAGTTCGCACACCGGCGCTCTTCCTGTTCCGTGAGGGCGCACAAATGCGTCATGTGGTCATTTGCACATTTTAGGCATTTGGGTAGTGCAGTGCACTATGACTGTATATGCCCGTACTTTTGGAAGCGGTGGCACTGCCCAATGAGTCTAGAGTTCTTCTGAATCTCAACTCGAATGGCCAGTGCCAGCAGTTCGTGTTCATTAAATACTTGCTGGGACTTTTCACTCTTGGGCAGTATCTGCACCTCAATAGATTAATATGAAGAGCGCTGTATCCCATCTACTCAAATTCTTCCTTAATCTCAGTATCCGAAAAGATAACCGGAACTCCTCGGTCCACCGCGTGGATGTTCCGTTGCGAAGGGAGAGGAAAAGTGTGATCGGGCACTTCTTTCTCTCCGATTAGTCGTCCTCGGATTTAGGAATAATCCTTATTCCCGCATCGACAGCAACCGCCCGATCTATTTTAATACCTAGGAAAATGCAGTTCAGCATACGCCACTTCACCTAATCACGCAAAACAATAGGCGTTACGCGCACTTGGCGTGAAGGTTGGCTTGATGCCACGTCGGCTGAGCGAGATGGCTGAGGAGAAGTGACATCGGCCGACAGGGTGACCTGACAGATAGATAATGTAGTCTCTCCGCCAGCCGATGTTAAAGGTTCAGAAGTGGACACAGGGTTAGAGATATTTTGTTTTTATGAAGTGGGGAGGTGCATAAAAGAGACGATTCTTTATTTGGAAGAGGTGGAAAGTCTTCGTCCCGAACTTACTAAAACTGTTACCTGGGCGGTTAGGCTGTCAATTTTAGCCGTCTGGTCCTTGATTGTCGCCATGAGTTCCTGAGTTTGCCACGCCTGATCGTCTATAATCATCATCAGTTTCTCAATGGTTTTCTGCTCCGATGACATCTGCGTCATTAGGCCCATGCGTTCAATTTCTGAACGGGATTTTCCGCCGTTCAGCTCCTTCCAAATTGTCAGTGGTACTGCATCCTCTTTGGACCGTCCTGGGTCAACTTCCATTTTACAATAGTCTTTTCTT